CACTGTCTCAGTCTGAATTCTTTCAAGGTGTTGTGGAGAAACGGTAGTTACTCTGCAGATGAGATACCAGCTAATGTCATGGTAAAGCCCAATTCTAGCTTCTCTAAGACCTAGATCTGGGGAATGTTTTGGTCTGAAAATGTTTGTATTACTCTGAAAGATCAGAGTGAATATTATGAAGAAAACAGAAAAACATTGATCAGACTTTTTATTTTTCAATGATAGAAACATCAAGTCTATACCCTTACTCCCACAGGCTTTAGAATCCACGTAAAGCTGCGTGTTAAAATTAAGGAGATTGTTTTAGCCTTGCTCGGAGATGGCTTCAGAACCTTAGGTCTCTGTTAGAAATCTTTTTCTATATGTACTTGCAGTTAATTTAGACTTTTTTTACAGACAGGTTAAATCAAGAGTTAGCCCTTCCTCATGTCAAAACCACAGCTTCTACTCTCGGTGCATTTGGAGGCTGTTGCACGCATACATCTTGCCTCTTGTGAGGGAGACTCTGCGTTCCCACTTTATCTTACCAGTCTTGCTTTGCACCTGCTCTGCTCTCCATTAAGTTTTCTGAAACAAAGTGGCCAGAGTTTTCTGTGCTGTTCCAGATTAGTTTTCACCAGTGCATTATATAATGGCATAAGCAATTTCCTCTCTCTACTGGTAATGCACCCTCTCATTCTCTGATTGCTACTATCCAAAATAAAATATCTTAGATTTGAAACTTTAACTGTAGGCTAGCACTTATGTCTCCATTTGCTAAATAACTGAAATCAGCCTCCTTTCAAAGTTTCCATGTAATTAAATCTTTAAAACTTCAAGGCCAGCCACATTTAAACAAAGAAAACTGTAATTAAGAAAAGTTAGCAATTTTTATCCAGTAGACTCTTTGGGAGTGATCATCCTTAGGAATTCCAGCAGGAGGCTTTTGTTAATGATTTAGGTGAAAGCAGGATTAAGTCTGTGCATCATTGCCTCTGTCAGATTAGCTAGAGAAACACTCTGAAAAACGCACGAGGGTCAGCAAACTGCACGTATTAAAGGTGCATCTAAATAATGGAAGAGAAGGACTAAAAGTCCTTGGGCTGAGCTTATGCTGTCTGCTCACAGTTTTGGCAGCCTCTTTACAGTTAAAATTGTATCTGCAATCTTAACTTGCAAAAATAGAATTTACTGACAGCTAGAAAAATACCTCAGAATTTTGATTAAATTCAACATGCACTGAGATTAAAATCACTCATTTTAATTGACAGACTATATTACATATCTTTTGTGTGTCTCTTTCTGGCCATTGAGATTCAGGTCTTTTATATTTGAATTCATGAAAAGCCATTTGGAAGAACAAACAGTTGACTTTTAGAAACCTGCCATTATTCGAAAAAATAGATCCAAATCTATGTCTAAGAAGCTAATTGGGGAGGTGGAATCATACTGATGGAAAGTATTTTGATTGCTAGTCCACAGCTGGCAATCATTGACTTTATAATATGAAAGGAAATGTGATAAAAATTTATTTGGCTCTGGACGCATATCATCATATTCTCTTGATTTGGAGTGAGATGGGCACCAGATGATTTCACAGTCTTGGGGATATAAGGGGAATCAAGAAATCAGAAATTCAGAATCAAGAAATTCTAGCTCCTGGGTTCTTACGGCAGGCTAATACTTGAGGTGAAGAAAGAAGACGTTATTAAAAGTAGCGTGATGCCAGCAGGATTGGTATGGCTTTAACACAGCACCAAAATACAACAATCTCTCTTTTATTACATTGCAAATCCCAGAAGATTTTTCTGAGTTTGCAGTTTAGCAACTTTCTGTGATAAGGAGAAGCACTTTTTTTTTTTTTTTTTTTAAAGGTTCTTGAAGATTTATGTAGGTAGCTATAAGGTTTTTTTAAAAATACCTGTTTAGGAGGTGCTTGGTAGGATTTTCAGTAGCACTTGTTTGCTGCTTTAGACATCTGCTTTTTTTAACATGTGGCTGTGAGTACTTAAGAAATGAAAGCTGCATAAGCTATTTTTACTACAGTGATTAACGTATCAATATTCCCCTTGGTATCCATATAGGATGTTAAGAATTACTTTTCTGTTACAGAACGAAACCTAAACCCTAAAGCAGCCTGCCTTAAGAGAAGGGAAGAAGAAAAAGTTTCTGCCGTATCGGCAGAGCCGCCAACACCGCACCCAGGAAGCCACCCTGGCCTGAGTGAAACTACCAACCCTATGGGTCATATGTGAACACCAGCCAGGTACAGCTCTTGTCCAGAGGCATCTGGCTCTGGCCGCATTTGATCTGATCGTTGCTTTTTATTGACTAAAACTTGAAAGTTGTTGAAGATCTAGATATGTTTGTTCTTAGTAACTGAGCTGCCACCAGCAAAAATTTCTTGCTGCCTCTAAGTACTTTTATACCTCTGAGCAAAAGCATGCAGATTTGTATGTAGTTTTAAAATAAAACAAAAACCTAAGAAATTTTAGTTAAATTCTCTTCATTTCCATGCATTGTTGCTGACGGCTACATCTCTTGGCTCAGGTGGCCTTCTTGGCATGACATCAGAAGAATAGTTAAATGACTCTGCTAGATAAGCCAAGAATAATAAAGATGAATTATACATCTTTAAGTCGTCTAAATATCACATTAGTTCATTTAAAAATCCATATATTGTTTCCCAGTGCTGATTCAAACAGTTAGAGAGACTTCACATCGCAAAGAGGTTTGCTATCTCACTTAAGGCCAGATAACAAATGATGATTTTAACTCATACCTTTTGACCAATGGAGATAGCTCTCTTCACTAATACAGATTGTGAATTAAGTCAGTTAGCAAAGATATTTAAAAAGCAATGCTTTCAGCTTTGCAAGACAAACCAGTGTTTCTAAGTACCCCAGATGCTCCAATATAAGAGAGTTAATTTAAAGCATGCAAATGAGGAGGCCTTACAGGAATTTTTTCGTAAGTGGAAAAATTGTTTTTGACAAAAAATAAAAATAAAAATCTTGCATGTTCCATGTCTTTAACAGCACAGTTTTTGCCACTCTTGATCAAAAGAAAGATATTCATATCAGGTTCAATGTCTTTATTTTGGTCGGTTACCGTCATGAAATATTATGGTATGTTGGGAGGGTTTATTGTAGTAGTGTATATAGATTGTTTTGCTTCTATTTTAACTTCAGGTAAAGGCACGCGTCTTGCCAGAATGTATCCTATGGTAGTTTATTACTCCCTGGTGTTCTTTCCAAAACAACAAAGTAGCATTTAAACTGAGCCCTACTGGAGGCAGTATTTGTATTTTTTCTCCCATTCCTTACAGTCAGTTTCTTTTTTTCTTGGCTAAATGTTTTTAAGGAAAACAAATATGCTTCAAATTCCTTTAACATTTTTTATTTCATACCATGCAATAGGCTACTTCTAGCCTATTTGTCAGATAATTCTTAATTTGTAGCAGACTTCTGTATTGTTTTTCAAATGAATCTTGCTATTTTAATTAACTACTTACAAAAGTTGGCTATCTCTCTGCTTTTACAAGGCACTTTCAAGAAGAAAATAGGAAATATCAATAATTTTGTTAGGTGACTAAAGTGCGATGCTAACATGAAAAGATTGTGCAGGCTTATTAGGTACATAGCAAAGCATATCTCCAATAGTAGTGATAAAATTGTACAACATCTCTTGCATGTTTCAAAAACAGGACTACAAAGTGTCAAAGACAAATCAAGTTACTAGTTTTTAAGTCTGAGTTTTGCAGGTTCTTTTTCATCCCGTCTCCAAGACAGTCTAAGTATAGTTTTTCTGAGAGTGAGAGTTTCAACCCCAGCAACTCGCAGAAGAGCAGACCATTAACAAGCTCTTATCAGTTGACTGGTTTACTTCTTGGTAGTCCTTGCACCCTTGTTAGAGAGAACTGATATATAGTAGTTGCATTTTTTTTGTAAATGAACTGTATGGAATTACAGGATAGGTTGTTCTTAATAGCCTTTACATTAGAAAAGTGAAAATAATGTATTCCTGCTTTTATAATCGTCCCTGGTATTTTAGCATGTGAACATTATTGTAACTTCTTGGTGGTGTAGACAGAATGGGTTTGTTGATTTAAATTCGGTTTGTAGCAGATAGATTGCTAGTATTTGAAATTTCGAGTAAGGTGGAGATGGAGCTGTCTTCCCTTCCCCATCAAGAGATCAGAGAGATCTGAGAGTCTTTTACAGTATTGTCACCTCTGCAGGATATGCTCTGGGAAAAGGGATTTCAGGTCTCTCAATGGCCACTTTCTTCTGCACTTAACTGACTGAAAATGCCATAAATTACATTTAAATTTGTTTATTAGTGTTGATATTACGGTTCTTGCTGATTCTTTTCCTAATATTACTTTCTTATCCCAAATTTCATGCTAGAATTCCAGAATTATTGGTAGGATACACAGAAGGTGACCTTTCTTCACAAGGACACAGACAACTAACATTATATGAAGACACAAACCTGACAGGAGAAAACACTTGAAGCAAGAAACCCAAATGCAATCTTATGATCAAAGCTACTGGTCAACACCTGCATCAGGACTGAAGATACGCAATCTTCAGACAGAATTTCAGCCCATGAAATACTCTGAACATATCATTCTGTTGCAAGCAGTGTGTCGCTTCTGCACAATCAGAGACTGTTGTGATCTCTCCACTCATTGTGGAAGTTGCCTTGTGCCTAAACTGAATTGACAAATGCATTGTAACTACAAATTTTATTTATTGTTATGGAACTGTAAAGGTCTACATATAAAGGGAAAAGTTAACATGTTAAAAGCTGATAAAATTTCAGCTGGATGCCAGCATTTACTAAAGCTGTTCACATTCAGAGAACAAAGCAGTGACAACCGTCGACCCGTAGCATTCCCAGCATACCTATTAGTGTCTTAAAAAAAGGAAGGGAAAAGTCTTTTGTTGTCCTTTCCTCTCCTTTTGCCATATGACTAGTGTTTTCCATGCAATAGGAAACTATTCCTTGGTATAGCTTTTTTTTTTTTTTAATGTTATTTTTGGTCTCTGGTAATCTGAACAGTTATGGTCATAGTTACCCTTCCATGCTGAGCTCCGTGCTTCAAGCCAGTAGGAGGCATAGTGAAGGCTGCAGGCAGGAGCAATACTGTGACCATAACATTTCTTGGATTTAAAAAGTGATTTTTATTTTCCCTCAGACTTTCCTCAAACATTTTTTTTTCTAATTATAAACAAAACCTTTTTAGGCTTCTAGGCTTCATAGTAAAGCTTGTAATGTGAAGTGTAAATTGGGTGGGGAGAATCTACTTTGTTAGAGTTGCTTTGTTTTCCGAGCAGTAAGTACTACATATAGTACATGTAAAGTGTTAGCTGTACGTAAGCACAAAATGCATTAAAGTACAAAGGAGATTTTTTTCAGGCTGTAATTTTGGTGAATAGTAAAATCCTAAATTCACCATGGCAGGTAGTGTGATGATATAACCACCAGTAAGGTGGACTGCATACATAATGGAATATAAGAGCAATGGTCACCAATCTTTCCTTACTGTATACATTAATTATCTTGTCATTTTGTATGGCTTGTCAGTGGAGAAAAAAAATCAGTGTGAATCAAATGCAAACAAACGACCCCCTCCCAAGCCATATTAGCATTAAACCATTAAATGTTTCTCCACCAGAACAGTGTCCATAGGTATTCCTTTGTCACAAATGTGTTGAAATGGTTAAAATCCCTTTGAACTTCCATGGAAACTGTCTTCCACTGCAATGACCATGGGAGGAAATGTACTAAGCCAAGGTTGTCGGAGCTATTGTTTATATATTGCATCTTTCATCACTGGCAATTGGTTCGCGCAAGCGCGCGCACACACACACACACACACACACGCGGAACAAAACAATAATTTTTATGAAGTCATTTAATTTGAAAGAACAAAAGATGGATTGTTAAAATAAACTAATGAATTTAAGCTCATGTTTTGGATGGTTCCTAACAAACCAGTTTGTGAAATTAGGGGACTTATTTCTATTACTTTAATTTGCATATACCATCAAATAACATCTGATTATATCTGTGGCCTTGTTCTTCATTTCAGTGTTTATCAGCTAAACAAATTTGTTGCTTATGACGTGTGAAAGTGATCACGTGCCACTGCCTGGCCTTTTTTCCTTCTAAGCTTGTTGTCTTTTTGGCTATATTAGACTTTGCAGTATGCCCAGAAGCTTTCCTTCATAAAATAGAAAGAAAAAACATTTGGCTTATTTTTCACTGTAGCTAGTCTTTTATACAATAATCTTGTAAGAAAATTTCTTGAATTCTAAATATTACTCTTTCTAGATTTTTGAAATCGAAAAAGTTTTCAGTAAAAAGTTTCTTACTTTATTTTACTATATTAGGTAGTAAAAATGTAGGGTTATTTACCATAACCTGTTCATTAATATCAGAAATTTACAATAGCATTGTAAGACCATAGTAGGGTTCTAGCATACCGTGTAGTACCTATGGAGTATTGTAAGAGCTAATTGTCCGAGATGAATTGCTTCTCATCTTGTTCTCCAGTTTCCATTGTTGGTTTATTGCAGATTTGTACCCTGTGTCAAATTTCAAGGTATTGCTGATAAACCTTTCCAACCAGCAGCAAGAAGTTCAAAAAAATTTCTGTCAATGTAACAGAAAACACTATGTATATAACATTTATGTAGCAATAAATGTGCCATCTTTTTTTAACATGGTAAATCAGTGAGTTTTTTAAATTTCTCTCTCCTCGTAGGTAATGTGTTGCTTGAAAACTACTGGCAAAACAGCTTCCTTTATTTGAATAAAACCTAACATACGTTTTCAAACAGCATATGTTTATACAGCGTTAAGTTGCAGACACAAAAGCTCTTGTTGCTGCTCCACAACAAGCCGATTTGAAGCCAACACGGAAATCCCCCACTCACCCTCGAGTTCAGGAGGAGCAGCAGTTGACATGCACTTGCTGCTGCGCAGAAAGGGGTTTGCACAAGCAAAGAGCAAACTGGGAGCAGAAGCTGCTCCTCTGTGCACATGCCTCCGACTGCCTCCTGGTCCTGTGCTTCACGTGTCCTTAAGGAAGATTTCTAAGACCTAAGCCCTTTTTGTACATTGAAGCTCACAGTGCTGAGCTGCTGCTGAATTGACTGATGCACCCATGTAGGTCTTATGAAAAAATTTAGTTTAAGCTTGAAATTAAAATTTTCACCTTTTCTACAAATCTAACCTCTTTCTGCCAGTGCAAACAAAAGAAAATGGTAGTCGTCTACAGTGTCCAAGGCACACAATCGGACAGTGATGAAGTCTTCATGCAACTTCTAATTTGCAACTGTTTAATCCAGAAAACTCAAGTAACAAGCAGACTTCAATTTTATAGAATCTCGAGGTTTTTTCCGACTCTTCTCTAAAGAAAAAAATATTCAAGGGGGAAAAGCATATCAAATAAAAAAGCAAATAAAGACACTATATAGAGAAAGTTTAGCTGAAAATGTTGCTTATACTTTCAGTCAGTACAGCTACTGTGTACTACATTGTTTGCAACTCTCGATAATGTCCTTTCTATGTAATCTTAGAAAATCTTATAATTATGTTAAGATCTAGTTTACATTGTAAAAGACCTGTTGGCATGGTTATATTGATAAGTTTTTCTAACCTACCAGCACTTCTACAACAGGCAAATCTCTTAACATGGTCTGGCCAAATATGGGAGGTGAGACTCAGTCATGTAAGTACATCTTTCAGTTGTCAACTTTTATTAGTAACTGTGGAAGAGCCCTGGTGTGTTCCCCAGCACAGTTTTTCAATTTTAATGTACTATATACCTGATTCTAAACTAGACTTTTAGCATTCATCATTAGCCCTGTCCCCCTTTTTTGAATGCAAGACCTCAAAGTTTGTCTAGTCTTTCAGAGAGAGTCAAAATGACGTTTCCCCCCTTCTTCATCTTTTCATTTCTTATAGAACTTATGCCATCCTGTTGGTATATGCTGCCTCATCACCAGCTCCTCATTCTGCTTTCTTTGTTACAGTCCCTTCTTTTGTTTTCTCTATTATATTATTTGTTTTGTTGGGGTTTTTTTGTTGTTTTTTGAAAGCGTGTAAGAGGTGCATGTTGGGATTCCTTTGTTAAACAACATTCCGCTATAAATCTCTGAGCATGTGAGGAATATTGTGGGAAAGCTCCTGAAGCATTGGTGAAGGCTTAAAAGCTTAAAATAAACTCCATCGTTCCTTCTCCAGCACCAAGTAGATACTGCTAAACAGAAGAGTCTGGATTCTTTATAGAAGAATTAACATTCCCCCAAGAATTTTAATTAATGTTCTTGCCATTAACATTAGGAAATCATGGAGAACATAATGCAACAGTTTGTAAAAGACAGTGTAGGTACTGGTAGATAAAGTTGGTTTTTACTTTTTGTTTATAACGCTAATACTTTATGCTTTCTAATTATACTTAACCTGTGGATTCTAAAATGTCTTGTAGAAAGATGAAATAATTTGTCCCAGTTTTAGAGCCTGGAAGCATTTCAGAGTGGGTTTCAAGCAGGCTCAACAGGACTGAGTAAGCTGATGCCTTCCTGCCTCTGTGCAGACCCTGGTGCCATGGTGGGGCTGCCCCCGTCCCAGGGTGCTGCTCACCCAGGGATGGCACATCCATCTGTCCCAGCTGTCACGTCCATGGGGAGAGGTATAGCCCCATCTCCTGCCTTCCTGCTTCTCACCTGCCTCGTACAGCGAGGCAGCTTCCCTAGGGAGCATTGTATTGTGTAGATGATGTGAGCAGGGCCTCCTCCCTGGCAGGAAGTGGGGAAATGGTGCTAATGGGAGACGTCAGCAGTCCTTAATTCTTCTCTTCCCTCCATGGCTCCTCTCTCAAAGAGCAGATAAGTCAGGAGCCATTGCGGGGGCACCAGGAGAGAGAAGTGGTTTGCACCGTTACAACATCACTTGCGTTACTGAACAATTAATCTCACCATCAACGTGGATGCACTTACACTGTTGTTAAGACATGAACATACTGATCAACTAATATCCCAAACAACCGTATGTTCAGTATGGCTTCAGTTGATTTAGCTATTTGATTGCAGTCACATGGGAATGATTGTCTTGGTCATAAATTGCATAGATCAGGCCTCTGCCACCAACACTGCACACTGTTTGGGTTGTAAATAGCATCCTTTAAAATTCTTTGCTAATCTTGACTTTCAAATATTCTGATATATTTTAAAATAGTACCTGCTAAATAAGAGTTGATTTTAAAAAGGGAGGGGGGGGAGGGAGAAATTTACACTACAAAAAAAGTAGTGATACTAAAGATCAAGTCAGATAAATAATTTCTCAAAATATTAATCATAACTGATCCTGGAGGGTAGATCTTACAGCATGTCAGTGGCTGTGCTAAGTATTTTGGAATTCTGGCTTTTTCTGATAAAACCGACAAACAAGAATTACAAGGCAGTTTCTTTCTCAGGGGAGATCCATTGTATTTTTAACAGCATCATCTAAATTAAAAGAGACAAAGATATGAAATATATACTATGTCAGTCAGAACAGCAACTGCTACTTCATATGATTGAGTGGATGACAATTTATGATACAACTTAAAATTCAGTCCTTGATAGTCATAAACTCCTGTTAGTCCTGGACTTTAGAAAAGCATGAGACACCTATGCAGCTCAAGCAAATTCTGCCCCTATACATCAAAGCTCCCAGTAATGTACTAAGAAAAGATATGTTTGCTTTGAAATACTCAACAATTCAGAGGAGATATTTCAAAGCAAATGGACATGAAACTATACGCTAGGACAAAATGAATGCCACAGTTTCTTGGTAACTCGATAAAGCAGCTTTTGGCCCTATTTTCTAATTTGTCTGCTGAGGTTTTTTTCTATCTGCCTTCACTATATGCTGATGGCTAAGAAAGACTTAAGACATGCCAGATCAGACTGATCTGCTGGTTTACTAAATTACATATTTAGGTACAAATAAATTCAATGGTTCCCTATGCTCCTGGAAGTTCTGAGGTTTGGGGTTTTTTTAATCTTTATATTAGAACAAGCTTTTATATAAATCTCATCAAAAGGAAACACGTTTATGTGCTTTTGCCCCTTCCTAATTGATTCCTTAATTTTGCATGCTGCATGATGAGATTGGTTGCTCCAGACTGCTCTAAGATGGTATTCTCTGACCACTGAAAAAACTGCTTTCAAAATCGGATAAATTCTTTGCGGCATTTGTGTGCTTGGTATTTACCGTATCAGCCTCACCCGCTCTGACTAGAGCCTCAGTGTGTTAGAATAAAAACTTCCCATCTCAAAACACTGAAAACTCATTCTATAGGAAAGAAAACTTAGTATACTGAGTGATGAGCAGGGGAAACTTTTTGGGCATTTTTTTTTAATTGCCATCAGAATCGTCAGTTCACATCTACAAAAGCTGAAGAAGTTGGTGTAGTGATAACTTATTTTTTAGAGGTGATGAAGAAAGGAGGTAAGTCTTGAAGATGTGCCTCAAGCTGCATTTGTACACCACCTTGCACAAGAGAGCTCAGATCTTAACAGAATTTCTCTGTGCTGCAGAGACATAAATGATAATGTATCTGATTGTAAATACAACAGCTAAAGTACATTAATCCCCTAACACTACCTGACTAATTAAGATAAATGCATACAGTATCAGTTTAAAGTGCCTGGGCTCTGCTTCTAGCTTTAAAATGGTAACATTTAATTAAATGTCCATTTAATTTGTTTACATGACTAATTAATAGCTGAAAGTGTAATTAAACACAAGGCTTTTAAACTCATTCCTTTCCTATCATGCAAGAACATCAAATGTGAGCATCATAAAATGCAAGTACAACAGGGGGGGCAAGAATACTAAAAATGAAAAAAAACATAAAAAGTGGCGATGTACGGAATAGGAGGGTATCAGCCCAGCATAAATTAGTGCCTGTCACTCTCTGTAGCCAGATGGTCATTATCCCATGTTATAGATGTATAACAAATGTGTCAATAAAGATCTCATTATAAAGTTTTCATGGATATAAATACAGATAGTGCATTTATAATAATCATTCAGGGGAATCAGGGAAAAGCATGAATGAAATGACATGTTCGTTTTTATAATTCACTGTCTATTTTTCTGGTTTGGCTATTTTGCACATCCAGGATATCTGTGAAATAACCACAGCCACACACTACCGAATCCTACCATTTCTGTAACTGTTGACTTTTCAGCTGCAGGGCTATGTAAACCGAGCTCTCTGAACACACTTCTGTAGGTTTTCCCGGACCACCCGTTCCCTTGCCGCCCCTGCCTCATTTCCACAGCAGTAGATATGGTCTCCAATTTATATTGTACATTAGCAAGCTTAAGAGGTTTAAATTCTAAGTACATGTCTCTGCCACTGAACTAATGGAGTGATTAGCATGGTACAGGTCTACTGCTCCATTGTGAAGAGCAATGGTAAATTCAGCAATATTAGGTGCCCTCCAGCTTTTCTTACCTGACTCCTATTCCTCCCAGGCCCCTTGTGGGGGCTGCCTTCATTATGCCTCGTGCCAGTAAAGCAGCAGGCAGCTTTTCTTCCTTGGCGTAAGGGAGCAAGCACCGGGGACAGAAGACAGAGTCCTCCTTCTCAGTTCTGACACGTGGCATTGCAGTTGCTTTGCGGGCTGGCAGGAGTAATCACAGGGGAATCTAATGAGCCTATACTGAGCATATATGAACAAGGTAGCCTGGTCAAGTACAGGCAGTTTTCAAGGAAAAAGTACATGCCTGATACAAGGACTCAAAAAAACATACCAGAGTCTGTTATTGTTTACTCTGCGAGCTGTAAATGTTAATATGTGGGCAGCAGAATTTCTCATCAGTAGCAAAAAAGGAATACACACAAATTGGCAGTTTTTCTTAATCTAATTATTGCAAACACTGGATTATTTTTGGCAAAAATCATAAAAGATTTCAGCCCAGATTCTCAGGAATGAAAAATTTGTTCCATAGTTAAAACTTGTAAAGTAATAGGCCACTAAAAGCAGGAGGTGAAACTGAAAAGCATCAGGCAACTTTACCCAGCTCTAACTGTACGGACAAGGATGCCACGCCAAGACACAAAGGAAATGATTTGGGGTATTCAGGTTGTTCCACTGTTAGATTGTGTAAGTGCATGACCCTTGTACTGACGACCTTCCTCTCATGCTCACACTCACTGAGTTTCATACACCTTGTCATAAATCAGTTCCTAAACTCTTTGAGGTGTCTGCTTCATTCCTTCTCCCAAACACTGTTTTAATGCAAAAGGCTGAAAATAATCTGTTAATTGGAAAAAGCTCAACTTACCCACATTTGTTTTAAATTTACTTCATATTATTTTTGTAATGTTTTAAACTCCATATGATTCAATGAGAAGGACATCTGAAGGAATTTTCATCTTAGATCTGAACTGCTGCATTATAACCATATAATTCTGCCCCTCTACACATTTGCTAGAGTAATGTTTATCCCCTGATCCTATTAATAGTCCTCTGCCCAAGGGCCCTTGATTCCATGAAGACATATACACAGTTTTATTTTTATGCATAGGCTAGCTCTTCTCAGTTCAATGGGCATACTTATATACTTCATATTGAGTTAATATTATTTCTTTGCAGGTCAGAAGTCTGAAGCTTACAACTCTTTCTGGCTTCTTTCTAAGACACCAGGTAGGGATACGTGCAACAGAAAGATCAAATTGTTAAGATTCACTGCTGCTCTCTTTCTTAGAGAACTAGAGACAAAAAGCACCAATATAACGTCTTATTTTACTTCTCTGGAAGTGAAGCAAAAGCAGTGTTTAAGGGCGCGAGGGTGGGTGTGGGAAAGTAAGTACATTGTCTCTGTGACTTTATAGAGTGGTTTGGAGACATCTATTTTGCAATAACTGGAAAGTAACTGGGTGGGTGGTGTAGAAGAGGGGGAACTGTGAAGACCAAATGTTTAGCTGTATTCAATTGTAAACAGAGTGATAGTTAGTAAACAGCCTCTCTGAAGAGAGTAATTAATAGGCACATGTGAAGAGATGGAAAAGAAGATGGATCTTCGTTCATCAGACATCAAAGGGCAGGCCGGACAGTGAGAAATTAAGCATACCCCATGGAGGCCACACAGCTGAATGTACGTAAGCTAGGAAAAGGAGGAGTGAGGGGGTAAGATAGACAATGAAAAAGGGGTCCTAAAGGAACAAAGAAAGGAGCAGTGTGGTTTGCAAGGAAGGAAGCCGGGGTAAAGAAGCAGGGAGGTCTAAGCAGGGCTGTTCTTTCTTTTTTTTGGGGGGGAGGGGGGAATATCAAGTTGCAGAGAAGTTTTGCAGGATTAGAAGGAATGATAAGATAGCACAGTAGGTAGCCTCAAAATAAGATAAGAAAACAAAGGAGGAGCCACAGAAATGAATGGTGCTTCTTGGTGATTCTCCTGCCTTTTGCTACATTTGAAAGCAGAAACCTGTGGCAGTTGGCCAGTTTGACAGGGAAGGCGATAAAAATAAATTACATCCTCTGTTTCCAGTACGGACTGAGATGTTTCCAAAAGAATGGGGGAAAAGAATGTTCTTTACAGGGAGAAAAGGTACTTACAAGATCCAAAACTCATTGTCTGCTCTCTATAAAGCGGTGTCACGACGGACTCCATATCGTACACACTTGGCTCCAAATGGGTTTGGAACAATCCACCTCTGGGACTGGATGCTTTCACGAATGTTCAGCTGGAAGAGAAATCCAAGTTCAAAATGAAGGAAACACTTTCTTTGCCTCTCAAAGAGCACTGAGAAGAACAAATCAGAGAACGTGAGGCCAAGTAGTTTGTGATTCCCACTGTCCTGGGTGGTCCTTGCTGTTAAATTCTATTAGTGTCATCTGCGGAAAACCTTTTCCTTCAAAACCTGACTGAAACTGGGATAAGACAGATTTTCCCAACTAGCTTGACTTACAATTTCGCATGAGCAGAACACATTTGTTAGCAGTATTTTTTGGCCTAAAGTTGCAAATCAGGATTTGTGCCCCAAATTTAAATAGAGGCTAAGGAAACAGGCAGGTCTTATTTGAGTTTCTTGGCTCACGTGGACATACATTTTTGCTGTAAAAGCAGCTTTAAACAAGGACTACAATTCCCTCTCAGATTCAGCACTAAACAGACTGTTTTTGCAAGAAGCAACAGAAACCTATGAGAAAGGTTGGGACTGGAAGCATCTAAGATGAAACATACTGACCCTTTCCTCTTGCATGAGCTGCCCTCTTGGGCTTGGCATCCACTGTGTGGTCTGTGAAAACTGTGGAAAACTTCACCAGTGTGTACCCATTACCCTGACTTCTCAGTAACACATAGGGAAAATATGTCTTGTGCCATAAAGGGACTGCAAGTGCAGGTCACAGAAGGCAAAGGAAGTATTTTGCATGTTAGCCCTCTGTCCTATGCTTAGGACAAGGCAAGTGCCCTGTTAGTAATCTTCTACCACTTTCCCAGTGAGAAAGCAGTTCAAGTTCTTTGTTTAAGCACATATTGTGGAGTAAGCTGTCAGTTCCTCGCAAACTGGAAATCTAAAGTGGATCTATTCTTACAGATCCAGAATAAATACATTATTTATTTTATGTGGCTCATTTGTCCCACACCACTACTAATTTTCCCAGAGACAGATTCTGCATATGACTAATGGCATTTGGGGGTGGGGGTAGATATTTCAAAGTTGTCTACTCAAGGGAAGAAATGTCATGTTTCAGGAACTTAGAAATGTTGGCTGCAGTTACTGCGAAGAATGGAATTGCAATTAGTCTTCTAAGATCTTTTATAGAGATGCCTGAAAAACAAAGTCAATACTGCAGGTCTGAGGGGCCAGTAAAACAGTGTCTTTGCTGACAGACAACAGACCTTGCCTCTATACTCCCCCTTGTTGGGCTGGGGGAGATGATGCTTCCTGCGCTGCAGAACAGCACCAGGTCTGGGGAGGGGGTGCTGGCTGCCTGCGCAGGTCTTTGGAATCCTCTTTGCCGGCAGGCAACCCCGTATTATCCTCCAGAGATCAGCCAGGGCTGCGCTCCCATCTGTTCATGGAGCTGCACCTGTTTTTCATTTCACCAGTAGTGGCCACATGGCTTAGGACTGTGGGGGAATATAGAGAAAAAAATGAATGTGCGATTCAGGCACTGGCCTTGGCTTCAGAAGTTTTGGGTTCCAATCCTGACTATGCTGCACAACCTGGACAAGTGCTTCAATTGCTGCCTGCCTTAACACCATCTGTAAAGCAGGAGAACAGGGGTGACTATTGTTCTGGGGCCCTCTATTCCTGTATTTTTTTAGGAAGGAATTAGACAAAGATTGTTCTTTCCTGTTTGTTTGTATTTCATCTGGCACAAAAATCTTCAGAGAAGTGGCAGCTCTGTAAACACCACTAATGGTTATGAAGACCAAGCATGTCTCCCATCCATTTCCTTTGCACTCTGAAAAATAGAAGAGAAGTTGCTTATAACGTTTGCTCAGTTTCTACCTGTGTACGTGGCAATACCACTTGGCCAAGGCTCCAGCAGCATAGAACTGATATAAGGGTATTTTGAGGGTTTATCTGCAATTGGAGCATATGGATCCAGTGTAGTGACTCTTTGTTGATCTGAGGCTGAGTCATATTCTGGCATACTCAGCTTCAGAGACAGGCAGAAACAGTATACATACATCTATTGCCTGCTTCCCTCATGTCTTGTGCTCGCTGTGCCTTAGATCTGGCACTGTACTTTTCTTTGCGTTCCTTACGCTTGCTTAGAAAGCAGAGACAAAGTAGGTGCCCTCTCTGCCTACTCATGCTATTTATTGCTTCATCAGCCCCAGCTTGTACGTTTACACTCCAGTACAGCATTTGACTGCAGCTTGTGTTGACAGCCTGTAGATAGATTGAGACTAAATAAAGAGGGTAACTGCTGTCAGGTCTCATGTAGGCTCTCAGCTGGCCAGGCCACGGTAATGTCACGCTAACTGGGGACATGCTAACCTTGCCAAGCGACATCAGCTTCTGCAAAGGTCCCTTAAAGCATTCAGTGTCAGAGATCCTGGCAGCTCACTATCTGTGAATTCTCATCCCAGCCACCATTCACGTGAAGCATCCTCTCACATTTTTTCTGTCCTAACTGGAGGTAAAATTGATTATAACTGGTCTCAGAGTTGTTTTTCACCTTGAGCCTGACTCAGCTTCTATGAAAGCCACTGGGGTTTGCCATTGACTTCACTGGAATTAGGCTTCAGCCTTTATCAGAAAGTTTGCTGTTTGCTGCAAGTTTGATTTCCATGCGATATATCTGGAAGCTTTCAATTATCATGCTGCCTTTGAAATAGGAAATCGACAAGCTGTTATCTCTGGGACCTTGTCAGGTTCCTACTGGTTCCATCAGATCAAGAGTAAATTTGTGCCAAGTAAGTTTGCTATTGAGTTCTTTATGTTTGATCCTAATTTGGGAGACGACTTCTTTCAGTCCTCCTGTCCCTTTCCTCATCAGATAACTGCTTTGCCCTGGGTGAGAGGTGCGTATGTCTTTGAGAAAGCACTGTTCTGATGTAGATTTCTGTTATGTCTTTGCCTCCTCAGCATCCATAGCTCCTGCTACTTAAGAGATAGGGTGGCAGTGAACTCTGTCTTGAATTTAGTTCCTGAAATACAGAGTCACTGCTGATTCTCGTACCAGCCATCAGTTGTTCATGTGTAACTAAGTGCTCTGTTAACTGTCAAAAACTTAAAAAACAGATTCCTAGCAGCACTACTAATTTTTCATACATTCATAAATACTTAGCTAATAAATGTCAAACAAGATTGCCCAGCTGCTATTTTCTTACCCAAGGCCTTACCTCTCTCCTTGTGTATTAGTAAGCAAGTTCCTTTGCTTCCCTAAATATGAACACTGTTACTTCTCCAGAAATGTTGGAACACATATTTCAGAAGAGCAGAGTCTCATCTGAAAATATAGCCTCCATATTCTTTGTCTCTTGCATTTTAGAGCTGGCCTTTAGATCAAATTATTAATCCATTTAGGATTATAAGGGAAGACCAAATGCACCCACATACAGGCATTCTCATACTCTACAGAGATTCCTTAGATAGGAATCAGCTATTAATTTAGCTTGTGGCTGAACTCCCTCTACCAATCTTTCTGCTGTGTTGAAGAATATTTTCCCTTCTCACATTTGACTCTTGGTATTATGGCAGACCACTCTTCCTTTTTACAGTTCCCCTAGCTTTGGATATTTTGCTCCCGGCTGTGTCGGGGGAGTAAACAGCCAGCATTAGGCTATGAAAAGTGCATGCACTGGCAGGAGCAGGGAAGAGGTGGTGGATGAATGGTACGCGGGGGTAGAAAATGAGGAGAACAGAAGAACAAGGCAGTCAGAATGCAACTGCTGTGCTGGGAAGGGGGGAAAAGAGGAGAGAGGGAGTCCCCCAGCCTCCAGGACTAAGCTATAGCAAGGTGTTTTTGCAAGTGAACCAAAGGCTGAACTTTGTCTTTTGAAAACTCTGCAGTGCTTTGCAGATAGGTGTCTTCCCCATTCCAAAAGCCAGAAAAAGGGGAAAAGGGAACTCCCCAAATTACACAGGCAAGAAGAGCTTGTGCTTACCGATAGGCTCACAGTGTGGAAGAGTGTGGGGTTAGCAGCAATCACACCTACCTCCTACTGGCTTAAAACAGAGGGGAAGACTTATCAACTGTTTCTTCCTTTCTTCCCTGGCCTGGACTGAGCTGTCCTCCAGCGTCTGATTTAGAAATGATCTGTCTCAGTATCTATTTCTGGAGGCCTAGTTTAGCTAGCAGCTTCCTTTATACTTGCTTTAATAAACAGAAATAAGTATGTATCTACCATGTACTCAAATACAGGAGAGAAGAGAAAATTTATTTTGTTGCTGTAGTAAGGTATCTTTGTAATAGGTTAGATTTTCTTAAGTTTCTATTCATCTGATTACATTGTTCAGTAAGTTATCCTGTATTTCTCTTAATGGGTTACAATAAAGGAAACTAATTTGGAAACTCTGGCAACCAAAAAAAGATACTTGACTCTAATGTGTCTCTGCACTGGAAGAAGTCTTTGGTTTTATAACAAAATATGTCTTTAATTACAAACAGCTTCAACATTCAGTCAATAATATTTCTATCAAAGTGCCCGATCCTATCTCTTTTAAAGTAAATGGAAAAATCTCATAATTTTTAAATCAATGGAGAACTCTGCAATAGGCAAATACGAGGCAGATGGCCCAGGTGGTCTAAGGGGACTTTACTGTCTCTCCTCCCCCTTAGCATTTCCTAAAACTTTTGTCTGAGTGGAAGAAGAGGAATTAGATCACTTGTCTTGGGTTGCTGGACACCAGGTAGCTCAATCTGAGATACTGCCCCATCCAAACAATCCAGGAGCCCTACTCATCAACTGTGCAGGGTCTTCAGTAAGTAAGAAAGATTTATAAAGGCACAAATAAGACAGCAGACACCCATGAATCTGTAATTTGGACCCATTGTAAGGAACACGGCATCATAAACTTAACAGTGCAGTGTGAACATACATTTTCTTCCTAACTTAAAATCTGCCTGTGAGATTGTTTTGTACTTGAGAATATCACTTCTTGTTTTTGTGTGAAATACGGAGCAATAAGAAGGGCAGTTGCATGACTCACTGATTAGAAGTTCCGTGTCAACTTCAGAAAATCTCAAGAGGCTTGGGATGCAATATTATGCTGAACACTACAAATTCACAGGTGCTGTGGCCAGAAAGAACAATTACGAAGAAACAAAATTTGACCTTCTGCAGGCTACAAAGTACCTCTTGTAGCTGTTACAGAAGTTCACACCTCCCAGTTTAACCAATAAATTGTCATTACAATTCCAGGTGGATTTCATTACCTGAAACTATGGAAAATGCACCTCTAAGGTAAATTAGTCCAAGGTTAGTTTTCTTCAGTGTTTAAAATTTTCTCCTTATCTCTCATCTGAACTTGCTTACCTTTTATGTTGCTCTGCCTTCAGCTGTGCTTACTGTTTGACTGAGTAGCTCCATAAAACCCCCATGCAGATATTTACACACTGCAGTCAATCAGCTTTTTACTTTTCCTCTTCTTAACTGTCTTCCGAGTCAGGTAGATATTTCAGATCTGCAATCATTCCTAACTGCTCTATCGGCCTCTTCACAATTTGGATTATTCCAGTGCCAAGTTCCAGCTTCTAGTGACCTGAATCATCCATGCTGTTCTTGTTAAATGCTGGCATAACATTAAATATTTCCATTCAAACTTCTGTGCTAGTTACCTAGCGCAGTTAACTGTGGGTATTGCTGTTTAACAATTTGCCTTATTCCTGTTAGAATAGGAACTATCTCCTGATTAATGTAATATGGAATTTATCTTCCAGCTTTCTTTGACGTGCAAAGTACATTAACATTTTCTTCATCACTACCTAAATCTTTATTATCTACATCCAGCAATGCTAGGATTTCTCATACTCTGAAGTATCTACGATCATTAAATCAGTTCATTAAATCTTCATGTTTTTAGAGTGTTTTGCATTCTGGCTTAGGATTTTTTAAATTAATATTGAAGTTAGATGAGAAGGTAAATTTCAGTGTAAGATGGACCTTTTTGTCAATTGGTGTGTACAGCTTTATGGTTTCAAGTATACGTATAGTATGCTTTACCCCTCACGTAACACTAAAAATTCATGATTCTCACTCATAACGGTCTATAATTTTGTAAACCTTACTCACAGAATCAGTTCTTTCAAACTCAAAAGTATACTCCGCACTGGACTCAATGGAAATATCCATTTTACCCATGAATGGCAAGATCAGACCTTAGATCATCAGACAATGTGGCTATAACGCTAACTATGAAGAGCTTAATCTTAAAGGGGCCTGCTAGTCAAATATTTCCTTTTTCCATGACTGCACCTTTTATGGCCTATATTTCAGTTATTTCAAGCAGAGCATTCTTTTTTTACATAGAATGGTATTAATGAATTTACAAAAAGGCATACTAAATCTAAACCCAGTGCGATCAAATCATAGAATAATTAAGGTTGCAGAGGACCTCTGGAGGTCAGTTGGTGTAAATCCACACTTAGAGCAGGACCAAGTTTGACGTTAGATCCAAGTGTACTGGCAAATACAACACTGGACAAAAAAAAAAGTTGAATGGTGCCTCATTCACCTTTTAAAATTAACCGCCCATAAAGGACTTGACTTATCAATGTTATGACAGATGATTGCAATAGGGGATGTTGCTATTATATTTTTCATTCTCACAATTGATTTGTATCAGATCATATCTCTCAAGGTAATGTCTCACTGTGCATCCTTAACATACATTTCGGAGCATAACTCTTGTTAGTCAATTTAAAATCACCATAATCTCTCATGGCAGTATCCAAATGACTTTGAAGTCTTCTGTCTCCCCAAAAGCTCAAGAATTAACCATTCTGTTTAAGTGTATAATGTGCAACAGGGTGACTTTAAATTTTTTTCTTTAGCTATATGCATTTGAACAGCTACTCTTCCTGCTTTTGGAATGATCTTAGTAAAAATTAGCCTCTGGGTGGAAAGACATTTGACAGAAATTTGTAACTTTTTTTTTTTTTTTTTTTTTTGGTATATAAAATGCTGTTGTAACATTTGCTCTTCTGGTCTTATTCTCTGTTTACTACAGTTTTTTGACATCTGTCCCTGTCTCTTTTCATCAAATATTTATCTGCAGCAGCTGAAAGTGCCTCATTTGTTTTAATTAAAAATAAGACCACCAAGCTGGGTTCACTTCCTCAGCACTTCCATGGCTTGCAGAGGCAGACAGTAGATCTTGTGAGGTTTTCCTGAGGGTGGCCCACTGACAGGCTTTCCCCCCTCCCTATATCCTTCCCTTTTGCACCATGTTTATTTTTGGATAGAGAAATGTAATCAGAACCACATTCCAGACAAAGAAACTTTTTACAGTTAACATGCACGAGAAAGGAGGAAGATCATGTTGTGTTGGGTTTGCTGTTTCATTATAAGAAACCGTTTTCCTATTTGTGGCTTCTGGAATGGAATTATCATTGCCACATAAACATAAGAATTGTCATAGCAATGAGGCTTCTAGCTCAGCATGCTGATACTGACATTGGCAGCAGACACTTACAGAAAAATTGCAGAAGCTCTGCTGAGGAATATCCTACTGATTGAAAACATTTTTTACATTTTGCCTCATCTGTTAATACCTGTCTCCTGTCTCTATTTTTTTTTTCTCAGTGTTGACTTAAGAAGAGGAAAAAACAAAGAACAAAGAAGCAGCCTAAAATAACTTTTGTGTCCAAAGCTGGTATTCTAAGGCCATGGTGCAAGCTGATGCCAGCTGGCACTATAACAGTTCTAGAGTATTTTCACTTTTACATGTCCTAGACAAATATTTTCAGCATGCACAGGCAGAGCAGCCATGACTTCCAGAGATGGTAAGATGACTTTTAGGCTCAGGACCCCAATTAAATTGCATTGCACCACTGACCTTTCTCAGCCATCTTAATTACTTAATTTTTTGTTAATGAGACAGATTTTTAAATTAGGCTTTTACATTTACGGAGGAGACTAACAAGCAAAACTTGTTTTTTTCATAGACCGCCTCCTCCTCATTCTTAATCTTATATGAAAAGTAAAAATAAAAATAAGCTAAGCTATGAATCACCAAATTAAAATGGTCATATCCTCACTTGTCAAAATTACCTTCAAAAAGGATCCTGCTTTAATCTCCTCTGGCAATAAGTTACAGCAGAGTCATCCAGTGCTTGGACAGGTATTTCTTACAGTTGTCTGTTAGATACAAAACATTGATTAGCTGTAAAAGGAAAAGTTTTTTTCCCTTCTCCAGAGGTGTAAAGGCCTAGTCAGTGTAAGACTTTACATTCAGGAAGCTGCAGTTTTCTAAATTCTAAAAAAGCTTATCAGTTAAAGTCAAAGACTGACAGTAACTTGTGCACCCCTTTAGTTTATTCTATAGGCAAAGTAGATTAAAAAAATGTTTGAGGTGAGCTTACATGTAGAAAATCACCTCATGACAGCATCTAGATGAGAAAATAGGGTCAGGTGAGTAAAGAGTAACATTTTATTTTTCATAATAACTTCATTCTAATTCATAATACACTTATGAGATATGAACACATACAGCACATTTCAGAATATGTATATAAAAAGCTGTGGATTTACTAAGACGTAAAAGGAGGTTTTATCTCAGTATCCCTTCCAATTCAAAGTGTTAGCTCCTGTGCCACATGACACAGTAATGCTGCTGTATAACCTCCTGATGTAGATTGGTTTTGTATGCTGTATGAGACGTATGAGTGAAACTGTTATAGAATATTAAGGGCAAGGATTTCAAAAATAAACACATGTAGTTAAGAGTCTAAGTTCCAATGAAAAGCAATTGACTCCTAAGTTATCCTATATGGATGCTTACTATTTCAGTAACTCTTGCAGAAAATAATTCACTGTATTATAGTTCCAATACTGTACTATAACTTTCTAAGCTCTTTCTTTATGACATAAAGGAAAACAGTTATGCAACTTGGAATCTGAATTTAATCCTTTCTTTCAAAGAGAGGAGTTATCAACACAGTTTAGCTTAATTGAACAATAGATTGGCATTCAGGAACCTAGATTTTCTTTCCAGCTTGGCCACTGGATTGAAGGTAACCTTCATCAAATCCTTTATCTACTCTTTAAAATGTAACTGTAAGTTCACTTTTTAAAAGCATTTTAAATGAGAATGTACTATAAAGTACCCTAGTTTTGAGGATGATTGCTTACAATGGTAAGTGAAATCAGAGTTAAGCTAATTTAGGGGGAATTTTATTAACTAGAAAGATTATAAGCTTGTCAAAAGATATTAATTAAAGTCTGGGGACTGCTTGCTAATGTCATTCTAAATTAATAGCTAATGGTTTACTCTAAAAGTGGAGTGCAGCTGCAAGAACATCAGGCTCAAAGGAAACTTGATTTTGTTTATCATTCATTTTTGCTTTGTTTAGCAAAGGATTTCTAAATCCCAAAGAAACCTGAAACTGTTTCTGGCAAGGATATTTTTGATTAGGAAAATCTTTTGTATAATCTAAATTGCAAGATTCAGGCACTAACTACAAGCTTCTACACTTCTCTCTTTTTCTCTATATCTCTGAGAATATAAAAAATGTTAGTATCTTATCTTGTATTTCTTTTACAAGGCAAAGAAGCCACAAAGACAACTGGCTTTCTAGAGACTCCACTACTGACATGAAGAAAAGATTGACTGACATAAAGTTAGCAGTGGTTCTACTGACCCTCAGATCACGTGTGGTTGGTATCATGGTCTCTGGGGAAAAGCTAAAAGTAAGAACAACTCAGAGGAGTCCAGAAATTTCTCTTAATTTCAAGATCCCCAGGTTATAGGAAGATGTAGGGGGGACTGAGGGTGGATGACAGCAATTCAAATCCACCTCTCTCCCTATTGACATGCCAGGCTTTCCAGCTTTTTGTATATACGTCTTGCTGCAATGTCTCACTTGCAGAAATAAATGCTTCTGGAGGGTGTGTGCTAAAGGAAAGGTTGCAGTCTGATCATGCTTAGATTGGTGCATGTGGGGAATGTTCTTTGAATAGTACAGTTAAACTGGTAGAAAAATGAGGGAGAACGGAATAGTGTGTACAGACTGTATTGCCTACTAACAGGATGAGCAGTCATGTTGGTAAAAGGCCTGTCCTACATTAGAGCTCCCTTCCTGTCACTGACAGTGATCCCCCTTCTTTTGACTCTTAGTCAAGACTTAGAAAAATCAGACCGCCTCTTTGATTTAAGTATACAAAGGGCTTTAGCAGGTACTTTATTTTCATTTCAACAGTAGTGAGCAGGCACCAATAGTGGAGAAGGAAAAAAAAAAAAAAAAAGGATCCCAATGAACAGCTGTTAAGCCATTTCCTTATTTTATGCCTTATGCCAGACAGTATAACCATTTTATATTAGTCCCTAGATTAAACAAAAACATGGGTCACTATTTTAAAGGAAGTTGGACCGCTCTGTGCTACCCCATCCAGAAAGAAATTTTTGAAATAGTGAGAATTTAGTGAAAACACTTCTCTTTGACAGGGCTCTGTAACCAGAGAAGGAAATGATTGAAACTGCAATCTTTTTTATTCCTACAGTTTTAATTTGGAAATATGAAAGCAATAAATACATGCAATTCAAAGGTATGTTAAATCCTCACAAGACTGACAGACCCAAAGAGCAAAACCCTTGCTTTGTAGAAGTCAGTGACAAAATAACCGTTGATTTTAAAGATGCTAAAATTGTATCAAAGTATTTACTTTACCTCGAATGATAAGAATATGATTCACAGCTTCCTGTATTGATCCTACTGTTCAGATATTTCACACAGTCATCATCTCCACCATACTTGAACACTTCAACATTTTGGCTTTACTTTGGATGCTGTCATTTTGATGGTGCACATAAGAAGTAATATGGGAATATGGTACTTTGAAGTGCTGATGGCTATTCTGTTAACAGCTTGGGAATACGGCTAGCACAGCTGCTTCCATATTGCTTATAAACAAAAATCCTGTTTTGTAGATGTCTAAGGCTTCACAAAATTTGATGACAAACTATTAGTAGTAACTTTTGAAATTCTTTAGCATACTAAAAGTCTTCTTTCTAAAAATTACAAAACCAGTTCAGTGACGCAAAGTTAACTGTACTGTTGGAAACATCAGGACTCTAAGCCCACAGTTCAGAGCCCCCAGCAGGATCTACCAGATATTTTGCTCAATATTGACATGACAAACCTCATAGCATTTTTCTTAAGAGGGACTTGAGACAGTTTCCAGAGTTTCCCCTTCCCATTTGATAATCTGTACAACATTGCATCCTTACTTTTCTGCTCATACACACATATGCACAGTCTCTCTTGTGGTTCCTGTAGCCATAACTGTGACACGTGGCATGCAGGACCAAGCAGGGCTAGCACCATAGCTGGAGATGTTCTATTCAGAAACTTTAGGGAGTGAAGTAATATGTCTCCCCTAAAATTGAGATGCGCTAGAATGACAGAGTGACTTTCTATGCCAATTGAGGAGACTCTGAATTTGCTAGTGAATCCACTATTGCACTCAGAAAAAAACAGAACAGCCTGTAGTTGACCATCTTCTTTGGGACTCAGAGACACTGTTTAACCAATGCAGAATGTTCTGACAACAGAGTGCTTCTTGTGAATATAAGATTGCCATAAAAATCATAACTGTGCTTACTGAGCGTAATGTAATTAAGCGATAAACATGCAACAAAAGGTAGATTCCATACAATGTCTGGCCAGTATCAGGATTCCTTCAGTAACATATAAGCAAAGAAGCTAAGTGATTCATAGCCCAAGCTCAGAGTAATCTATAGCAGCCATAGCTACATGAAAGTTGGTGATTGATTCTCAGGCGGAAAGGTAAACCAGTTCCTTAAAATTAAGATTTGTGTTTATAATAAGGTGAGGGGGGAGGAGGAACAGAGAAAACATAATTAGTACCCATGTCCCAGCATGAAAATATCTTTGATCTATTATTATTGCAGCTGATACAAACTGAGGGGTTTATAGAGATATTGTACTCTGATTCATGAAAAGCCTTACTTTACCCAATGCTCCGAATTAAGAGTTTCAGGCATCCCATTTAATCTTCTAATCCAATAATCCTAAAATCCAGCAATTAAAGAACATTTTGACAAAGCAGCCTGAGATTCATTCCTCTAATTATGCTACGTAGTTTAACTGCCTTCAAATACATAGCTTTTCCCATGTAAAATATGCATGTAGTGTATCTAAACATACTGGATTAATAGACTCTTCTTGGACAATGTAGCACTCAGTAGGTTGGTCAGAACTGAAACTAGATCAAGACATTTCATTGCCAAAGAAGGAAACTCTGAGGGAAATGTTCACTTAAACAGTTCCCTGTTTCCTTGCTGAGAATGAACGCATTTAGACCTGTAACCGGTATCTGAGACCAACAATATATTTTAAGAAGTATTTAATAAACAGTTTTTGGAAAGCCCTCTCATTGGATCACTATGGGTTAGATTTGTCTTCAAGGGCTGCTATTTTAATGTTTTTTTTTCTCATTGGAAAGTGCAGAGTCTGCTACTTCAGAATGAGAGACGGGCAATTTTGTTCAAGTACTGAAGCCATGGAGAGACTGGAAACTTCAGTGATGCAGGGAATTTACATTATGTGTTGGTTCATTTAAGATAGTAACAACAGTACTTCTGTGTATTCTTCCTGTGCTAGAATTATACTTTCTCAGAACTAACAAACTCTTCTCTGCTCCATTCCTAAGCATTAAATCATGTCTTTCTTTATTGAGCTGTCTTTCTGAGTTGGTAGCACGTATGAAAGTTAACAGAGATCTGACTAATCTCCAGACAGTTCCTCCCTGATAAAGGACCTGAGACACTTCCCCTATTCTGATAAGCTGCTACTTGTGGCCTTGCTGCTCTACCCAAGCTGTCTGCACTGCTGTACTCAAGCTAGACTGTGCAACTTACACGCTCGGCTCACCCTCCAGCAGGAGCTCCCAATGGCTAAGGCTGACACTGAGTTTTTATCTTGTGCTCCACTCCATTTCCATATCTTCAGTCTGCTTCACTCCTCTGACTGTAATGTTTCTGTGGGAGGATCCTTAGGGCTGCAGAAGGGAACTAGCTAAGGAATAAATTAGGAGCTTGACTGCTAATCTCTGAAACGGCTGGTAGCTGGTACTGGTGGTTGACTGCATTTCAGGCACCAGACCAAAAAAAAAGAGTA